ATCAAGTGAGACAAAGGTAAAACTGGATTTCCTCTTCAGAATTTCGAATATTTTCCAAATTCTCAAAGTTTAGTAGCTAGAGCAAGCAAGAAACAATTTATTTTCCATACTTTGATGTACTGTATGATGATGTGAAAGTTCGCAATAAACAGTTCAATAAATCTATTTATCACATCAATGCATGGTTACATTAGTTTGGTAGCTTTACATTTATCAAGTACCTTCATTCACAAGGCAATGGGGTGAGATAATAATTTTACCAGTTATACAAATGTCCACTAGAGGTCAGCAGAAACCATTTGTGTATAAGGGATTTAAATAGAATTTTGCTACGTATCCAAGGAAGCATTGGGCAGACTAGATGAGCCGAATGGTTCTTATCTGCCGTCACATTCTATGTTTCTATGTTTCTATAAATAAGTAGAAACATTAATTTTGTATAACTGGACAATTTTTTTCAATTATACACATTGAATACCTCACTTTAGTTTGTACCAGAGCTACCAATGTAGTTATAATGTAATCATCATAATGCTGGATACTGGGAGTTTATAATCTAATGATACTAGCCATGGCTAGTGAGTCACTAACAGACACGTGTCAGGTAGCCGAATGCCAAGCTAAGCATAGTACCTTATTATTTGCTCATAACTGTATCCAAAGTATAAATAGCAAATAACACATTTCGAGCCTGTGCTTATTTGAAAAAAACAGAATCTTCATTTCATTGCCCTAATTTACTTTACTTCCAGTTAATATTTACATTCATATGATTCCACAAAGACACTTTTGTCAGTTCATACAGTGTCTGCTAGGAAAATAAAATTAAACAAGCAAATATGTAAAAATCTATACATTACTAATAGGATTTTACAAAGTGAAGAGAAATGCATTCTGGGACAACATTTTAAAAGTAGAACAGTTACTAAGAAACCAAAATAATTCTCCTGCTGTATGCTCTGTTTTCAGAACTGCGTCACAGAAAAGACAATACATACGCGTTCTGCAATTTTGATGATTATTTCATGTGAATTCACAACACATCAAAATATTATGTTTCTTTCCCACCCCCCGCCTCCCCTTTTACATTAAAATTATACATAAAAGTATGGCTGTAGGAAACTCAAAATAAGATTAAATGTGTCAGAAACCTAATCCTGGCCTCATGCCAACAGTTTCCCAGGTCAGGGCATACAGTAGATAAACTATATGTTTCTTGGTATTTTGCCTCTGGAACCAGTCTATTTTTTGCTGCCCACCAGTGACCTTCCCCACCCCAACCACTTTATTTTTCACCGAAATCCCATAATTTTCTTAATTTTCTTACCATTCTGTTGGCCTGTCCTTGGTGATCTCATTTTCAATTCCACACATTTTTATAGCACCAGACATCCCCAGCACTGTACTATGTGAGTCTCTTGACAACAGAGGACACCGAGAATAACAAAATGAATGGGGTGTCCTCTATCATTAGACCACATGGCATCTAGAGCACTGTCTGGCACCTGAACCATATGGCACCTAGAGCACTGTCTGGCACCTGAACCATATGGCACCTAGAGCACTGTCTGGCACCTGAACCATATGGCACCTAGAGCACTGTCTGGCACCTGAACCATATGGCATCTAGAGCACTGTCTGGCACCTGAACCATATGGCACCTAGAGCACTGTCTGGCACCTGAACCATATGGCACCTAGAGCACTGTCTGGCACCTGAACCATATGGCACCTAGAGCACTGTCTGGCACCTGAACAGACATATTCCTGAATATAAAATGGCTGCCAGAATGGAAAACTAACCCCAAAAGCTGCCTCACTTGTCTATTCCAGGATGGACCGGTGCTAGACTATTTTGCACCCTAGGCAAGACCAGCTACTTGAACATCTACCCCAATAAAAACAAAAATTGTCAACTTGGATTTTTAAAAACAGAATGTAAAAGCAAAAAACTTGAAACTATTATGTCCCCGCAGTCCGTCTCTTTGTCTCTTTGCCCCCCCAAGTCCCTCTGTCTCTTTTTCCCAAGTGCCTCTGTGTTTCCCTTTGTCCCTGCAGTCCCTTGTTTGTTTCTTTGTCCCTCAAAGCCCTGTGTCTCTTTGTTCCCCCAAGTCCCTCAGTGTGTCTCTTCTTACTCAGTGCCTCTGTGTTTCAATTTGTCCCCGCAGCTCCTTTGTGTGTCTCTTTGATCCCCCAGCCCTCTGTGTGTCTCTTAGTCCCCCTTATCCCTCTGTGTGTCTCTTTGATCCCCCAGCCCTCTGTGTGTCTCTTAGTCCCCCTTATCCCTCTGTGTGTCTCTTTGATCCCCCAGCCCTCTGTGTGTCTCTTAGTCCCCCTTACCCCTCTGTGTGTCTCTTTGGTCCCCCAGTCCTCTGTGTGACTCTTTGTCCCCCTAGCCCTCTGTGTGACTCTTTGTTCCCCCAGCCCTTTGTGTGTCTCTTTGTTCCACCAGCC